AAAGATTTCCTAGCTTCCATCACTGACTTTAGGTCTTTCCAGTGCAGATCCTTGCAATAGACTTGCATGAGTCATTGTTGTGGGCTCTAGGTCTCCAGATGGACTTGTGGGGGACACTGTCATGGGCTCTAGATCTTCAGTTGGATTCATGCAGCACATTGCAGTGGGATTCAGGCTCTCAGCTGGATTCCTTGGGTCTTAGAATGTGCATAGATCTCCGGCACTTCCTCATTTGACTCTTTGACTGTTATAAAATAATTTTATAAATTATGAGTCCTGTATTAAGTTTTAGATGCAAACACTGACTACAACAGACCCTGTATCAAAATAAACCTCTGGGACCGTAAGTCAAAATAAACTTTTCCTTCTTTAAATTGTGTCAGGAGTTTTATCTCAGCAAGAAAAAGCTGACAGAAGCTATCCAGTACAGTCATGGACCCTGAGGCCCAGTGGTGGGCATCCGAGAGTACACAGCCCCAAGATGCAAGGCCTTGCAACCTTTAATTTCAGGATGCTCTTTTTGCAGGTGTTGTGGTCCCCAGCTCCAAAACTAATTGCTTTGTGTGTACAGTGTGGGAAGGACCACTTGATCTGTATTTATATTCACTAGCATATTTGCCCATGGGGCACCCTGACACAGCATATAGCATCCTCTATTTAACCAAACTACTTGAAGTTTGATGCCCAGGATCTGCCTTAATAATCTTCATGGAGAATGCTGATGAGTACCCTTTGGGTATTGAGGCAGAGCTCAGGCTATTAGCATGAGGCCAGTCCTGGTAACTGTTTTAGATTTTAAATCTCAAGTCTCTCTTTTCTCCATACTGACCTTATACCATTAAAAAAAAAAAAAACACCTAGACTGAACAATTTTGCCTGATCTTTTATTTTAAAGAAAATAACAAATGTGATGACAATTCATTTCTAAAAACCCACCATACATTTCTAAAATACAAGGGAATTTTCCATGATAGTATAACTTTCATATCTCTAACAAAGTAACCAATAATTTAATATCACCTGATATTGGTCTATAGTTCAAATTTCCCTCTTGTCCTAACATCTTTTAGGGTTGGATTATTAGAAGCAATATCCAGTTAGGGGTTGAACTATTGATAGGCAAAGCTCTATCCTGGAAGCTGCTTGCTGCTCTCACCCCCACACCTAGTGCATTTGAATGCTATATTTCTTTTCTCTTTTAAAATCTAGAAGTTTTTCCCCCACCTACTGCTTGTTCAGTAATACAAGAGATCAGACTAGTGTCATAGAAAGTTCTACCTTCTAGTTTAATCCTAACTACATTTCTTATGTCTTTTCATTTGCTTCTCAATCTCCTCTCTTTCTGTAAAACCAGGTCACACATTTGGGTGCTGTGAGCATTGTGTATTGTGACCACATGCCTGATCATCAGATGATCAACAGATTTGATGCCCAGATCTGCCATTGGGTCAGAGGGCCAACAACCAGCTGCCTCACAGCAAGACCATGTTCCTCCCCTTTCAACTGGCAAGCAATCTGTTCTCAAACCATTTTGGGGTATACAATCTTTTTTTTTTTTTTTAACTTTTAAAAGCAAAAACAGAAAAAAAGGATAGGAATGATACAGACTTTCAAAAAAATTATATTAACCCCAGTTAATATATTGTATATTGTTATCTTAGAAGTAGTTGTTCAGGTTACAAGATTTAGGGACAAAAAATGATCAAACAATCAGACAGTGAAAGCACAAACTGTACTTTTGGATGAACAGAGATCAGTAGTATTGATCTTGTGTGTGTGTGTGTGTGTGTATATATATATATATATACATATATATATACCTATATATATGTATACCTATATACATATAATCTTTTCTTCTTTTCCCTATTGGGGTATATAATCTTTATATCTCTGCTCTCTTCTCATCTGTTCCTCTCCCAACATGTTCCTATTGACTCATAGAGCCTTTTGGCACCTCTACCTAGCAAGATTTTTGCTGAATTTACCTCCTTGGGTTTTCATGGTGAATGCGTAAAATTTTTTTCTTTCAAATTAAAAAGCTGTCCTAATTTAAAACCATAATACCATAATATTGATTCACAATTCTGCCAGATCTTTGTGGGGGTTGCTAGTCTGATCTTCTATTAATGACCCACTGGCAACTCCAGCATTCTTGGGTGGTCTGTGGGGCCTGGCTTATTGCCCTGTGGTTACATAAGCTTGGAACTGGTGTCAGCTCTGATTCCAGGAGCCTTGAAGGTTGTAGCCAGTTGGCACAGATACCATGCCTGGCAGGTGTGGCTTACAACTGTGGCCAAGTCATGTGAGGAGTTCAAAGTGACACCTGGCCACAATGCCCAGGCCCTTGGAATGGGCCAGTCCTGAACTCATGCAAACACTCTATTGACTTGATTTAGAGCTGCAAGATGACACTCCAGGCTGACCCAGCCAAAGAATACTGATGAAACTTCTTAGCGCTTTAAGGACAGTGGCCACATGCCCAAGTTCTCAGCCATGCCTGAATATACACTGCAAAGTTGGAACCAAAACTATATTGTCTCAAACACAGGGGTTATATTCCTCCTGGAGTTTTAAAAGTCTGATCTATAAATTTATTGTTACAAAAGTATACACATTCAGCATGAGTCATTTATGTATGCAGCACATCATTTTTATCAGGGCAAAAGGGGCAACTGTTCTAGAAAACATGAACCAGGAGGTTAAGAAAATAAAGAACCTGGAGGGAGTGTCAGGCGAAGGGCAGGCTGGCCACACTAATGCTGTCTTACACACAGTCACATTATCTCCTGGGACACCCAGGATGACCCAGGAGGTTGGTATTGCTACCCCTAGTTGATGTGTAGGAGGAACAGTAGAGTTTAGACATAGGAGAATGGTCACACTGCTGGCCTCTGCTCTTTCACTACAACATGCTATTTCCCTCCAGTGTAATCTCACAAACAGAATTGAAAGGGGGAATGGAAGAGTGTGAAGTGTCACCAAAGTTCGTTATTCTGATTTTCTTTGCAGAATTCTAAATCCCTAGCAAGACCTGTAAGTCCCTTCTGTCTCTGCAGCCTACTTATCTCCATGCTTTAGCCATACTGACCTTTCCTATTTATCTTCACGCTTTGGTTATATTGACCTTTTTGTTCCGTGAAGAATTTATGTTCCTTCCTATCCCTCTGCACATGCTATGCTTCCTCTAATTCACCTAATTGGTTTCTGCTTATCTTTGAAGTCTGGGCTTATAGTTTTTCAAGCTAGCCTCTCTCGACCTAGAATAGGTCAGGCCACCATGCCATTCATCTTGGAGCACCCTACTTCTCTCTTTAGCACCTTCATAGTCACTTCTCCTTTGAGGGGTCTGAGTCATCAATCCACAGCCACAGGATCTGAACCCCTGGGATTTCTGATTTCCACAGAAATCTTTTTGCATGCTTGAAACTGTGTGGTACGTGAGGCTAGGCTGCTTTCTTCTAAGGGATTTAAAGCCCTTATCAGAAATAGAAGGCCTGTAACTTTCTATACATCTGTGGCACCCACTATCTTCTTGGCCCTCTCACGTAGAAAAGTGGAAAGCTCCTTGGTCATCCTAGAATGTTTATTTCTACTGTAATGTGGGAAGGGTGCTGAGACTCCCTGGCTCAGGGTGGCTCCCGGGGGAGGTGGCCTTCTCTAACAGCAGTGGAGGCCCTGCTGCTACTCCTAGTTTATATGAAGACTCTGGCCTTTGCAGAGTCTGTGGCTGGCGCAGGTAACTCTCTTACTGGTTTCCCATCCCCAATTCTACCCAAAGGAGAGCTGCATCCTTTTTACCTTTGTTTCTTCACCTCTCAATGGTTTCCAGGCTACCAGAGTTGCTCTTGTTTCTTGAGGAATGAGAGGACATCCAGTTACTACAAGATGGAACTATCTTTCCTCTGTCTAATGGGCTGCCTTCATTTTGAAGCTATATTCTTTTCTTTTATCTTGGTTTTAAAGTATTCTTTTTGAAATTATAGTGAAGTGGGTGTGTACTCTTCCTTTGAAGAAATCTCAAGTCATCCACTGCTACTTGCACAGGATCTGGAGTCCCAGGACAGCTCTCCTATAGGGTGAAAATGACATTCACAGGAATCCTGCCACCTTTCCCTGCCAGCCCATCTCCCCAACTTTTTTTCCTTCTCCATTTCAGCAAGCTTGGAGTCCCACTGAAGTGGTGAAAGTTTCTGCAAGTTCAGGGCCTGGGATTTCTGGGTTGCCGCTCTTTCTCCTGGCCTCTTTGCAGTAGCCTAGCTGCAACCAGTTAAAAAGTCAATGCTGAGTTTACAGGGTCTGCCACACTCCCTGGCTGGCACCTCCATTTCTTCCTAGTCCTTTCAACAGAGTGCCAACCTGTGTCGCTGTACTTTTTCTCTCTTCAGACCAGGAATTAAACCCAAGGCTACATTCCAGCCTTTTTTTACATTTCGAGATGAAGTTTCACTAATAAATTCCCCAGGCTGGGCTCGGACCTGGGGTTCACCTGCCTGCTGCGTGACTTGCAACGCCATAAGATCACTTCTCCAGGCAACGGGAAGGTTCTCTTCAAATCTGTAGAAAAAGAATGAACCACGTGCTCCAAAAGGCCCTTCCAGGGGACCCTCTAGGTTCTGCACCGGGACGCTCCACTAGGGTGGAATCTGAACTGGGAACTTTGCATTCTTCAGTGTAACCACGTGCGACGCGAACTGCACGCTTCCTAAATCCCACAGGATCCCCCTCATCATCCTCCCGGATCCCAGGGCCGAGGACGCAGCCCTCTCGTCCGGTGCGATCCAGTTCCGAGGGTCCACAGACTCTGGGAACCCGCAGGTCACCGGGCAGCGCCGCCCGGCGGGTCTGCGGGCACAGCCGGGGCGGCGGGAGGGGGGGGGCCGAGGGCTCCGGACCGGCGTCGGCGAGCTCCAGGGCGGGCGTCCCGCCTCTCGTCGGCGCTCCCGGCCTTTCCCATCCGGCCCGCGACGCTCCGCCCGGCCCGTCCCACATGACACCGCCTCCGCCGCAAACTTTTTCCTCCCCATCCTGTCGCGGCGCGGAGGGAATGGAAAATGGCGGCCTAGGCGCGGAGTTTCCTGCCCGACCGGCGGCGGCGGCGGCTCTCGGCGGCGCCGACCCCGCGTGGCACCATGACGCGCTGGGTGCCCACGAAGCGAGAGGAGAAATACGGCGTGGGTGAGCAGCGCACCGCCCGCCGTCGCCCTCCCCGGCTCCGCTCCCCAACTTCCCGGGCCGCGGCGGGCGGGAGCGGAGCCTGTTGCCGGCGCAGGGCGGGGAGCGGGCAGCGGGAGCGGGGCGGGCACAGCGCCTCGCCGGGGAGTGCGCTCCGGCTGCGCCCTTCGCCCGGCGCTACCCGCGCTTCTGCCGGGCCGGGGGCTGCGGCCCCTCCCGAGGGGCTCCCTCCCACATCCTGTTCCCGGGCACCGCGGTGGCGGAGCGTCCCTGAGTCCCGCGCGGTCACTAACTCTGCCCGCGGCCAGGGCCGTCCGTTTTGGTGGCCCCACGCGTGGAGTCCCGGGGGGGCGGTCATTGTTCTGCATGCTTCATGGTTTCTTGGGTAAACTTGTGGATGGACAGTTTTTATATCACAGTGGTCAAAATGAAGATCTGTTGGTCTCCCGTGGAGAGTGCCCGTGCGACCTGCGCTGGCGGGTGACCCCTTCACGCCCCTTGGTGGGTGGGCCCTGGATGGACGGGGACCCGCGGAGCGCTTCGGCGTCCCCGAGTCTCCTAGAACATTTGGGGAGGGCGGGGACCTGGTTTTAGGCAGCTCCTTTTTGTCGTTCGTTTTGGAGGCGGGTAGAAGGGGGTGAAAGGAGTAGGGTTGCAAGTTTACAATTCTACCCTAGTACGCATTCCAGAGAGTGAGGCTTTTCTTAAAGGCAAAACAAACAGACCCCTTGGGTGCTGCTGCGTTGTCCTGCTGCCCTGCTCACTAGGCTTTGCAGCCCGGCCTGGCCTGCCCAGGCTTGCGGGTTTCTGTCTCCTCACAGCCTGCCCACCGCGTGTCAGGTCTGGGCCATGCCACTCTCTGGGATCTCAGGACCATCCCAGTTCCTGTTAGTCTCACTGGTCTCCTGCCCCACACGCAGAGGAGTCCTTGACTGCCTTACCCAGGCCACCCTCTGACTTGGGAAGCATTTGTGAGTTTGTCTCTTCTTTTAGGTGCCCTCACACTATCAGGAGCCTGCCTTCTCCCCAAATATTTTGGCCACCTCTCTGCTGACCTGTGCAAGTCTAGCTCCTCAGACTTTTGAGATGCTTCTTGGGTGATCTTTGGCCTTAGGACTCACTCTTTTATGTGAACACTGGTTTCTTATTTCTGTACATGTTAGTGATGGTGGCAGTGGGAACAGCCCTGGGACAATTCAGATGTCTTCTGGCAGCATATTTTTCATTTGAGAATTGAGGGGCCTCCTTGCTTCAGGAGTACTGCTGACTGCTCCCTACTTTGCAGATGAAGAAACTGGGGAACTGAACATTCCTGAAGGTCCAGCACAGACAGGAATGCGTATTGCTTGCATGTTGCACTCCTGATAGGCTTAGTCTTGGGTACCACATGGTGACAGAAAGGACCTTGGCATCTGCATCTCTGGAAGGAGGGTGGGGGTGCTAACAGTGGGTGGGCCCTGCCATGGGGATCCTCTTGAGGGAACATTTAGAGGAGAGAGCTCATGACCGACTGTAGGGAACTGAGCACAGAGAGATGGACAAGGAATTGGAGCTGGCAGGGAGAGGCAAGAGGTGGGAGCAGAGTGGAAGCAGTATCCCATATTCCTGGTGCAAGCAGTGAGCAGCTGTAGCTCTAGTAGGTGGTTCCTGTGTGACAGGGACTGTCATCACTTGTATTTTACAGTGGTAGGGGAAGGCACATTGCTTGTCTGTGCATATGCCACTTTTTTCGGTGTAGCCTCAATTTGAGCGTTGGCTGCTGGGGGTTCATAGGTGTGTGCACCAGCTACCACCATTCCCTGTGCTCATCAGAGGAGAGTTAACTTTTGGGATACCGTATTTTGAAAGAACCTTGATATCCTTCCTCAACTTCCAGGGGGAGTAGGATGGTATTGACGAGCACCTTGTAGTATGGCTGGCCTAATCTGGAAAAGACCAAAGGACAGCTCCCAGATGCAGCACATACATTCTCTGCACTGAGGATTTGGTCAGCCAGAGGCCAGAACACGGCTGTGAACTTTTCATTAATTCACACACCCTTCAGAAGTATCTGTTACTTGTGGTTGTGACTTTTAGCATCACATCTCTTATACTTTTGGTTTTAAGAAAACTATATTGGAAAGTTCCAAAGGAAAAAAGGCTATGGGGTAGTTTTGCTAGGAAATTTTAGCAAAAGTGTGAATGTGTGCAGTGGAGAGGAGAGTAGGTTTGTGTTTCCCTTCAGGTGGAGATAAGATGGCTGAGATAGGGAGAAATGGCAAGACAGCATCAGAAGGCATTTGAAGACTAGAGCCCTCATCTGCTAGGGCAGTGAGGCCAGATCTTCTGATCAGGAGAGCTGAGGATCAACCTTGGAGATCATTATCTGGGAGTTTGCACTGGGTGGACTTTAGTGTTTTTCAGGACAGGTGCTGACTGGAGAGGACATAGGTGTTTGGATGTAGTTATCTAGTCTAGATAGATGATTGGCTCTTTCAAACTAGGGGAAAACTACTGAAGATCCTGCTTACCAAGTTCAGCATTTTTTGGGGGGCCTAACAACAGGGCTGTGTTTCCCTCCCAGGACTCTGGTGGGTGAGCTACTCAGGCCTCTTGGCCCATGAATGAATCACGAGGGGAAAGAAAATGATAAAACTCCATCTCATTTAGAAACATGAATCACAGCTCATTGTTTGCAAGTACTTGGAATCTGTTAGAAGCATTGTTTGTAAATGAGACACTCATTTATTTATTTATTTTCTAAAATCAAGAGAGGAGTAAACAGCTGATTTGTGACTCCTTGGGAAAAGACAGGAAATGCTATTTTCCTTGATTGTGCTGAGGGCTGCCCCCCAGAACTTAACCAGCTGTTTTGTTTCCCTACCAGCTTGAGTTTGCTGGGTCATGTTTACAGACCTGGCTTATTAACATACATCTTGCATATATCTTGACTTAGCAGTCACATTGGAGGGTTCTTTTCCATCACCTCATGACTGGGCAGAACTGTATATTCCAGTATCAATATGATTAATTTCCTATGGATCCTTTTCTTAAAATTAGGTAAACAGATGCAAGTATGTTCTTAGAGACACAGTTGGGCGCAATATACTTATATTTCAGTGACAGTGCAGAAGTAAAATAATGATCTTAAGGTTTTCTCAGCTTAATCCCTAGACTAGTGATGGCTAATCTCTTAGAAATGAATGCCTACACTGCAACCCAAAACCCACTTATATATTGCAATGTACCAACTCTGCAATTAAATCTGAATACTGAGGTTTAGTTTAGAAAAAAATAACTCACATTAACATCTTTTATCTTAAAAAGAAAAAAACATGGCTGCCACAGATTCGCCTCCTCTGTCTTAGACCCCGTGGATATGAGGCATTACATGGCAAAAGGGGCTTTGTAATTTATGCTTAAGGTTATGAACATGAGGGTGGGGAGGTTATCCTAGCTTCTCCATGTGAACCCAGGGAAATTTGGCCTTGGAAAATGGAGTGAGAAGAGAGATGCTAAGAAGGGGAGCAGATTCCAAGTTAGGGAAGGATTTGATGGCCGTTGCTGGACCTGACGGAGAGGACTTCACTTGGCAGGACCAGAACTAGATTCAAGGAGTAAAGGGTAGCCCAAGACAGCAAACACAGGAAATAGGACCCCAGTCCTACATTCAGAAAGAATTGGAGTCTTGCCAACACCCTGAATGAGCTTGGAAACTGATTTCTCCCAGAACTTCTCTTTGGCCAAAGCTTTGATTGGAGCCCCAGAGACTCTGGGTATCTGACCTGTAGAAATGTGAGATAGTAGTACCTTTGTGTGGTTTTAAGGCTGAGGTTATAGTGATTTGTTATGGCAGCAGTAGAAAACCAATGAAGATGGAATGGAGAGCAGCTTGTTATTAAGTTTGTGGAGCATTCTCTGTATTGAACCTAGTATTCCATTGTCTGGCGTCATCCAGCTAGAGGTCTCAAATGGGATGGGTATTGGCGTGTGTGGAGGTTCTGCTTCTCATTCTTAGGTGACCCCTCAGCACATTGCTGTCACTTTCTTAGTCTCGGTTTTCATGTCTATGAAGTAGAGCTAAGTCTGTCTGCCTGCTACAAAGATATACCAGGATTCATTGAGATAATGTTGGCAGGGTGCATATTTGAAATATGCCAACCACTCAGTGGAAGTACCAATGATTTTTTTATTTGAATAAAGCCCAGAGTTTAGAAATTCAATGACAAGTGACTTTTGTTTGGATTTAACAGTCACAGTGCCTGAGATAATGGTTTGCTTCAAAAGGTGATTTTTTAAATCCTTATTGTGTTTGCCCCTTGATTGGGGGAGGTCACATTTTCTGTGTGGAGAACTTGACATGGGTGTGTTCTTATTGATAACAAGTATAATAAGTATCATCATTGAGTGATGACACTTATTAGTATAAGATAATATCCAAGGAAATTTGGAAGCGAATAAGTGCAAGAGTGATATCTTTTTTGAGTAACAAGCCAGTTGTTAACTTTGGGAAAGAATTAGGTTTGATCGTAAGTAAATACAGATGCAGGTATTATCATTCACTGGAGTTGCAAGAAAAATAATTTAGAGCAGATTATATTTCTACAAATCCAATTTTACTTTGGAAACAAGCATAAAATTTTTAAATTTATCATTGTACCAGGGGTTGCCTAGAATATCAGACATCTGATGTGGATCCTTTTGGGGTGTGTCTTTCCCTTGTTCACTCCACACCTATGTGGTTGCAGGAAGGGAAAACAGGAAGAAAGACTGTGTTGAGTCCTTTGCTGAGTGGTAACGTAGCACTTGAGCACATGTTCCCTTTCTCTCTTCTTTCATTAAATTGTATATTCAGACAGTTTTAGTCACATGCCGTCGTAAAAAATAATACAGAGAGGGTCCCATGAATCCTTTATCAATTTCTTTCAATTTTACGTCTTCCAAAATTGTAATGCAATCCTAAAAGGCAAGGATACTGACATTGATAGGCAAGATGCAGAACATTCTCTCTTGAAGACCACAGA